AAAAAAAAAAAAGAAAAAAGAAAGCGAGATAAATGAAACTCGAGATCGAGATGTCTCCAAGCGGAAAGGATAATTTGATAATGAGAGAAAGAAAGTTGTGAAACATCTCTTTCTTTCAGGGTCATTTTTTTTTTTTTTTTTTTTTTTTGGTTCGTGGAGAAGTTAATCTCGCGCAAAGCAATGAGTACAACAACTTGCCAAATTTGTCGTTCTCGATCACTCGTTCACCGAAACGTTTCGTCACAGTTGATTTTCTTTTTCTTCCAAGACGAATCATCTGAGATTTTTACGTCTCGTTGATGTTAATTTTTCAACAAAGTCAAATTGATATCCTTTCCTTAGGGACACGTGAACAGAATAGTATAAAACGAGTTGAGCGAGCGTGAAAATTTCGATACTTTTGAATATCGATATCGAATGACAGACTGATGACAGAAACGACTCCAGGACCCTATTGACAAAAGACATCGTTAACGCATAAACAGAGACAGGAAAGTTCCCATGGTTATTATCGAAAAATTGTACGCGATTAGAGTACAAAGTTTTCCATTTCTTGCTGAAAGCAAGACCAACATTCGAGACTAAAATTTCTGTCGATCAAAGCACGTCGACTGTTTGAGAAAGTCACTAACTCGAAGCTTATAACATGTACTAAATGCTTCGTCGAAAAAATCAGAATATTCACGATAGTCTCGTTGAACGTATCTATACTTTGCAAGTGAATTTATTTATTTAATATTTAAGAATTACTCGAGTGTCTCTTCGCGTTGCGTCTACATTTGTTTCGCTGCGTTTCGAAAGTGGAAATGGAACAGCGAAGCAAAATGAGACAAAACAGTTACGTCATTTGCCAAAGCAAATTCTTCGCCGGCCAATCGAGTACAAAACCGTGCAATTAATTTTGAAAGAAAAAAAAAAAAAAAAGAGCTTTTCTTTCATTACCTTTCAACACCGTTTCAATTGACAAACTTTTCACCCAACCCTCAAAATCGTCCGACGTCGTTTCTTAGCTGCTAAACCTACCGGAATCGGTTTGAAGCGGTTCTTCATTGTTCGAATCTCGCACACCGTTACACCAGAACTCGGTGACATCATACTCTTTCGACCAAGTGCCAAACGTTTTGAGAAGGTTCCAAAAGAAGCTCGCTTTTAAATGGTACGAGGACGTTGTTCCTCGTATCACGCAGATTAACAACCACGAGGTTGTCGTTACAAAACATTTAATTTTTT